CTCGACAACGATTATTTAAGTTGCCGTGATTACCCGAACCTTATCCCTCACAATTGGCGTCCGCGCGACAGGACGAAGCCGTTTGCACTGGGTTGAAATCTGTAGGGAAGATGAGTGAGCAAGAGCTTATAACGCTAGCGGAACGCATGGGGCTTCAAGGAGCCGAGCTAAAGACGTGGGTAGACGCGCGGTTAGAGCGGGCTCATGAGGAATCTGTGCAAGCGCGTGAAGAGCGTTCCGCTGAAAGGCAGGCGGCGAAGGAACGTTTGGAGATAGAAGAGAGAACTCTTCAACTGCGAATTCGACTAGCTGAGGTTGAAGGTAGCCGAGAGCCAACAGCGCGGGACCGCGAACCTGAGAGGAGTCAAGCCGCCCGTGCTTGATCAATCCTCACAACCTGATTCCAGTGTTTGACGAGGGGCGTGACGATCTCGATGCGTATCTCAAGAGGTTCGAACGCGTAGCAGTTGGTCAAGAGTGGCCTGAGGAGAAGTGGGCGACAGCGCTTAGTTTATGCCTCAGTGGGGAAGCATTGAAAGTCTTCGGTCGTCTGTCGCCAGAAGACTCAATGGATTACCAGAGTACGAAAATGGCCTTGCTCCAGAGGTTTCGTTTCACAACCGAAGGCTATCGCGAAAAGTTTCGGCAAAGCAAGCCTGAAGACGGCGAAACTGGTAAACAGTACGCCACGAGATTACAGAGTTACTTCGATAGATGGCTGGAAATGTCGGAAACGGACGAGGACTTTGCATCCGTGCGCAACCTCATTGTAGCTGAGCAGTTTCTGAATAACTGCCACGATCGCCTGGCACTTTTTCTAAGGGAGAAGAAATGCAGGACGGTAAAAGAAATGGCAGAAGCAGCTGATACCTTCTTGGAAGCCCAGCGGCAAACAAACTTGTTGGTATTTCGTACCAAGTCTGCAAACAACAGTCCCAAGGAGCAAGAAGGATTTACTTATACCCAGCCTCCTCTTAGATGTTTCGTCTGTGATCGACCCGGCCACAGAGCATCTGATTGCCGCACGAAACCCCAACGAGTCTTCTGTGGGCACTGTCGGAAGTCCGGCCACGATGCAAGAGCATGCCCAAGCAACGGCGGGTCAAAGAAAATGACATCTTGCATCGTGTCTACTGACCAGAAGTCCGAGACGCCCCGATGTGCCGATGATTCATCACAAGATGAATATGTTGCTAGTGCACTCCGAACGCGCACCGCAACAGCTACACGAAACTTGCCGGTGTTACAGGGAGAAGTGTTTGGACATACTGTATCAGTCTTGAGGGATACTGGAAGCAACACCCTGGTCGTGCGACGTTCCCTCGTTCCCGATGATGCGCTGACGGGTACTACCGCCACTATTTTATTGGCCGATGGTAGTTGCATCGAGGTACCGGAAGCAGAAGTACGGATTCTATCGCCCTATTTCACCGGAAATGCGATAGTCAAATGCCTGACGTCGCCACTTTACGATGTCATCGTAGGAAATGTTCCCGGCGCCCGTGACGCTAATGACCCCGACTCAACGTGGAAGGAGTCAGCGAGCCTGAAGTCGGAAACTAATCAGGCATTGAATTCTGAAGAGAAATCCAAGGATGGATGCGGGACGAATAGCACAGTCATGGTTAGTGTTTCAAACCTGGTGTAGTGCAGTGGGGGACTACGCTAAGCGTCAGATCTTGTCTTTCGAGAACGTGTGTCGTGCTCGTACCTAAGGCAGTTCTTCGCTGTTGCCATGTAACACGCCAAGCTTCATTATCGTTTTTTTTTTTGTGGCATTAAAGCCTTATAACTCAAGTTGCAAATGTCTTCGTCAGTCTCGACAACGATTATTTAAGTTGCCGTGATTACCCGAACCTTATCCCTCACAGGCCTGTACATTAAGGCACAAGTGTTCTTTGGCATAGCAAGGTTGGAGGTTCGAATCCCCTAACCTCCCTACAACAATGAACCAGCTTGGCCTGAGTTACCTAGGACATGCTTTATTTATAAGGTTTATATGTGCAGGAGGCTGTAATTTCAGTGCTTATAATCTAAGTTCAGTATAATCTCAGTCAATTGAACTATCATTCCAGTAAAATGCCTCTAATGCCCCTGAAAATCACGGTGTTTTTAGCACCTTGTGCTCTTTATCATTGACTAAGAGGCAGCAAAAACAAATGCTTTTGCAAGCAGGTCTGTGTTGAAATGGTAAAAACATTTTTTTTTTATTCTGTTCTTGCAGTTGGCACGTGATGACAGCGTGAGCTTCAGTTTGAAGTGTTTGCATCGACTGCAGTCACCCCACCCTGTTTTCATGTCGAAGTTTGCTCCTTTGTGTGTTTTGCAAAAACATGTTATTAAGGACAATATATTTTTGACTGCAAAGCTTGAGCTTACATTGTTCATAATCCAAAGTGTACAGTTTTGCTGTGTGTCCATTGGGGACCAAAGAACACAGTCTTGTTGAAAGCAGCTGCAATCACAGTTCAGCTCATCTAGGTTGCTTACTAATGAAAAATGTGTACTGTCAAAAAAATCTTAACTTCGCTCTAGGGCTGTTTATCGTGTGATATCTTTTTATGGTGCTAGAGCTTAGTGACATTGTTTTTCAGTGAGCACTCCAGAATCTTAGCCCAGCCAAACATAAGTTGAACACAAGCTCACAACATTACAAAACCCCAATAAGAAAGAAAAAGTCTTAGAAAAAAAGGTAACTAGAGGTAAGAGTTGTACAAGATATATATTATATTGGAGCATAAGTTTAGCTATGATAAGGGCAAATTTGTTGTCAGGATAATTAATGATTAATTGAATTAGTTAAATGAAAAAGCACACAGCTTTCTTGTGAACAGCTTGCAGAGCAGAGCTCGGCTATGCACTTTTATGCGGCCTTTTTTGATCAGATTTAGCAGCGTGATGGCGCGCTGCCGAAGGCTGTTTTCATGAAATACATAAATCACACCAATTTAGTATCACTGACAATGCCTAGTTCCAGATAACGACCTTCTTGTGAAGTTTTACATTTGTTATACATGTGGATGTGTTTTGAAAAGCCTTATCACAGATGTTTTTGGAGAATAGTTTGGGAAAATTCCCAACGACATTGGTGGAGGCACTGACTTGACTGGGGGAGCTCTCTCGAACTCCCCTAATCTTGTTCCTCGGGGCTCCAGGGAAGTTGTTTGCTTGTTTGTTGGTTTCTTTTGTATGTATGTGTGCGCTATCTTCTTGGCACATACCCTCAGGAAAGCAGTCTGCTTTAACTGTAGTCTATTCAAGTGAACAACAAAAAGTTCACCAAGCACTAGGGGGTAGTGCCATTAAATGCAAATAAAACACTAAGATTGCCCGAAGATTTGCTTGTGAAGCGCGGACTGCTGAGCGAGTTGGTAATTCATATTAACAGATTGTGCAAAAAAAAAAAAAAAGGGGGAGTACAAAAGGAAGACGCGTGAACACAGTGCACACTAACAACTGTAACTTTATTAGAGGAAGCAGACACATATATGCGGTTACGAGAACACTTGGGGTGAAAGAAAATGATTAGATGAGCAGACAGATTGTGTTAATGATTGTATTTGTGCTCTGTGTCCAGGTGTCTTCCTTTCGTACTTCAATTTTTTTTTTGCACTCTCATTTAAGAAAAAAAGCTTTAGTTCTTTTCTTTTTTTTTACAAAGTGCACCAACATATCTAGTACCTCCAGCTGTTAAATAGTAAATAGGCCGCACAACGCACATTGTGGCCTTCGAAATGTGAAGCCCACTAAAAGTGCTACTGCTCAAATCTCTTGAGGTCGTGCAAAGGCACTCAGCCAGTTTCAACATTGCAGGCTTGCTGTCACTGTAACAAGCCAATTTGCAAAAACGTCCATGCGCAGGCTTTTCGTAGCACATCCACTTGCATTTCAAGTGTAATACCTTCAAGTGTAGAAATATTATCTAGAACTAGACATTGTCAGTATTACAATTTTTTTGCTGCTTTTTATTCGCAGTGACAAGGTTTTTTTTTTTCTGTCAACTTATATAGATTGGTTCACTGTCAGCAGCATTGAAATCATATCTTTTTCTGCCACTGTGAGTGATGCTTAGACTCTCTTTATGCCTATTCTTGATATTCTGAGTGCTTTTTTGTGATTCTACCTGCTTTTGAAAACATTCTGTAACGTGTCTTGGTGGTTATGTGGTGACTTGCCTTCTCTTTGACATGGAAGTGGACAAAACACAATCTTTCTGTTGGCAAGTGAGAACACTTTTTCTTCCATTTTGATTCATTTCAATTCATGTCTTAATTACTACACTCTGCTCAAATACAACTAATAATGTACCCTTTGCTTTCCTTAGAGTAATTTCTGTTCCATAGTTTTGGCTGTGTGTAGCGAAGAAACGAGCGCTCAAAAAAATTCCCCTTTAACCAGTTAATGCCTGAACTTTGAAACTGCTGAACAAAGTAAATGATGTTTTAATTTTCCAGCTTTCAATAGCAATCATTTATTCGTAGTTAAAGTATACTAAATGCAACTAGAATGAATGTTTTATGGGTGTTGCGAATTCTCCACATGCCACAGAAGGGAGGACCTTGCAACATGGAACTTACTGCGAAACTGCATAACATATTCTGTGCCACTTCTTGGGTGCATGCACACAAAATAAACAATATTATTAAAGATAGAACTCGCGTCGCCCAGGCTGGAAAGAACGAAAAATTGGGAGCTGTTGCACAGGCTTCGTGCTCTTCCATCAGCTACAAAAAAAAATTGATTCTAGCATAATATGTCTTTGACGAAACAACGCTATATTCGTCATGTTGAAAGGTACATTTCTCGTGAGTACTTGACAGCCCCATTAAAGGTGGCACGCATTCCGTGATTTGCTTGCTTAGACTGTTTCGATATGTCGTGAATTCCCAACACTCTGCAGTAAACGGTTAATGTATGAAATCAAGCATGGGGCGCTGCCGATTGAACTTTCATTTCCTCTATCTCTCTCTTTTTTTTTTTTTTCATTTCGTTTCTCAGTGATGGTGCAGCTCGAGAATGGCGTCATAACGAAACGTGCCCGAGGGGTGAGCCACTGGGTGTGCCGGCACTGCGACTACACCACGCGACACCGGGGCCACCTCAACCAGCACATGGTTGTGCACTCTGGCAAGCGGCCCTTCGTCTGCGACCTCTGCAACATGGCGTTCAGCCGGCGAGCCACCCTGTCCAACCACATGCATCTACACAACCGCGACAGGAAGTTCCAGTGCCGGTTCTGTCCCCTGATGTTCAACATAAAGACGGCGCTCGACCTGCACATCAACACGCATCTGGCACCGTGAAATCTCATCCGCCTGTCTCACAACTGAGAACGGAGGTCTCTATACTCATAGACAACTGTTCTTAGCTATGAATAATTAGCCAAATTGCCCATATTCTACCGCCAGTCAATGCAGTCCCGCAATTGTGTCCGTATTTTTTGCGTGAGATGTAAGAGGTACTCCCTTTATTTTCTACATGTACCTCTTTGAAACTGTGACAGCTTACACCAGTAGGATATTTGTATTTGTTCTACTTTATACATTGTCACCTAATGTTTCTGCGTACGTGAGAAAGTTGCACCTCCTGCATGTACAGGGGTGGTCAAAAGTTCCCAGGTCACTATCCCATGTATATTTATGAAAGCATGGCCTGGGAACTTTTGACCAGGACTGTATCTCGAATGCTCAGTGCATGTGCATAGATATGCAGTGCTGATTGCGTACAGGCATCACTTTTCTATGGCAGTGCAAAACGTGCACTGTACTAGAGTACTTTGGGTAAGTGTGCGTTTGAAAAAGTTCACCCTGTAGCTTTTCCTTCATTGCAAGGAATAGTTGCCTGCGAGTATAAGAGCTCTGATTTCTTATTTAGCTCAAACTTTCAAGACCAAAGATGTGAAAAATTTCGACCATACGAGCACTGACTTCCAACTGGAATTTTCGTCGGGGTACTGCATTTGTAAGGGTAACAATGCACCTGCGCCACGCCACCTTCACAAATCCCAAAACCCTAAAGTGATAACCGGCAAGCTTACATAGTGAAACCCACCGGTTACATTCAAAACTGAAAACTCCGCAGAGAATTATTCATCTGTTGCTATCCCACGCTACACTTACAGGGCAATAGACAGCAGACTGATACACTGTTGATCAACCGAGGCTATTTCTGCTGCGTTTATCATTTCCCCCATTCTTCGGTCAGTAGGAGTGTAGAGTACTGCACACCTTTCAAATTCAGGCATACATCCACAGCTTTGGCAATGCTTCATATCTCGTGAGCTCGCTAGTTATCACTTCGGATCTTTGCGATTTGCAGAGTGGAGCAGGTGCACGATTATTGTTATAAATATGCGTCCAAACCATTAAAATTCAGTTGTAAGTTGGCGCTTACGTGTTTCGCAACGTTTTGTGTCCCTGCTCTTGGAAGCACGAGGAATATTGATGTGGCTGCAGGAGAGCTCTGGTAAGCGTGACACTGTCACTGCCGTAAAGCATCACACGTGCATAGGACAACATTGACGCATCACGCCTAATTACCATGAATGCGGACTTTTGTAAACGCTGGCTTTGCAGACACTGAAAACAAAGAAGCGGGCGAACAAATGTCGTGGGTCACCAGCTTCAAATTTTTACAAGTAGTATTTTGGACATGGTCAGTTGTGACATGCTCAAATATTGAAGTACGTGACAAATTATGCCAGAAATGAAAAATCTCGCCTGTTTTTCGTGTGCCATTTGAGCTCTCTGTCTTTTAGAATAGTCGCCAAGTTTATTTATCTGTTTCTGGTGTCTATGTTAGTTTCGTGATTACGTCAATGATTGGGACCATCTGTTAACCAAGTGTACATCTTTCCAAATAACTATTTTTAACGTGTTTATGAGGTGACGTTAAATGTGACGCTCTGCAGCAGCTTTAGGAGTTTCTTTCACGTTACGACTGATACAACGGCTCCTGCTCATTTTTACCGATCGTGCAAGAACTGAGCACAATCTTTGTGGTCATGCCAGATCCAGTCCTTGCAATGTGTGCTGCGGAAGCCTGTCATTTTTATTCCTTGCCAAATGAGAATACTGCACTTTTCACAATGTTCAACCACAGCACCATCATTGCACGAAGGTTCACTTAGCGTGTGTTCAGCTTTTCACTTGCGCTGAGAACTGACATTGTACGCGTATCTGTGATAAGAAATGAGGCAGGCAATTTCTCGCTGAACACATGTACTGCCATTACTCATAGTTTTCCCTACGAGTTCTTGGGTTGTGCCATGTTCCACACAACTGCTAGCTTTTGTAATATTTATTCCTGAAGCTGGAGCCTCCAATTATCATGGGAGTGATAGTCACACGAGTGATAATCACGCGAGTGATGACTGCACAGCATGTTTATAATGGCAAGGCGGTGATTTCAGCGACAGTTTGTGTAAGCCTGTAAAAGCACCCCTCACTGCTAGCACTGTCGGCAATGCTGCTCTCCTTGGGAGCACATGTACCCTGCCAGCGTTATCAAGGCACTTCTCATCACTAGGAAAAAAATATATATATTCGGAATAATCGAGGTTGAATGAATACAAGGTTCCTATTAGTATACCGTAATACTGCTTAGCCAGTGGTAACCAGCATTGGCAAACATTTAGTTGATGTTGATGCTTGCAATGTGAGCAGGTATAGTAGTTCATTTAGATTGTAAATAACGATTACAGCATGTCACCGTACCCTATTATGAAAAGCTGCTGAAACAGGTACAGCAAGACTCTGTCTTCAAAGTTCCGCACTAACAGGTGTACAACTAAAACATGTCTGTAACATGTTTGTCAAGCGTCTAGTAATACTGGTAATAATAATTGTTTGGGTTTTACGCCCAGAAACTATGATAGGATTAAAAAAGGCAGCATGATGAAGGACAGTATTTTGTCTACCCGAAGTTCATTAACATGCACCTAAATCCAAATACACAGGCCTCTAGAATTTCGTTTTCATAAAAATGCATTGTCATGTGTGTATACAACTCCATATTCACTATATATAGAAAATTTTGATTACAAATGTTTCACGAAGTCTTCCACGTTGCCCTTCCGTGATTAGACACTCTGACCGGTAAGCTTTCTGTTGTGCTGAAGAAAATGGGTACCGTGAAAATTGGTAGGTAGTTGGTTCCTTTAACAGAGCATAAGCGATGATTTTCAGTACCTGTTGTTGCATGGTGTTGGCTACTCATTTTTTGTCACTGGTGAATATGTCTCGATAACCTAGGCAGGGCATGCACAATAGAAAAGCAAAAGCCTAAGCCAAATGCGCTCGGGATGGAGCTGCATTGTGTGCTCTCTTGCTTTTACAAGGCATTGACATGCTATCTAGGCAATGCTCACTCAACACCACAAAAGGCAATAGTATTTAGGAAGCTGCTCTTCTTCGGGTTTACATTACGCATTTGCGTAATGATAAGAACTCGGCCTCTTTGTGGAGATGCATAGCATGAGGTTCTCTATTGAGATAGGGGTTGCTTTTTGTAACCGCAATCGTTCCTGTAAATGGTGGCTAACTATTGTGCCAAACTGAAGCATTGTTTTAAGACTCTATAGCTGTATTGCATGCGAGGCTCGCGAAAATGCAACTCGTGGGTGCTGACCAAGAGAAGTCGTTAATTTTAAAAGATGTGAGAGGTAAAGCTTTGTTCATCAGGAACAAAGCGGACTGAAACTACATGATCAGGAAAGCGTTAATAGTTAACTGAAAATTTCTGTTAATTCAAACTGACACCCTGGTCCCGGCATAATTTGAATGGTTCAAAGACGTTGCTATCCACAACAACTAATTCCAACTGGGAGCCCCCTGGCTTTTACCGTTCCTTGCAGCAGTCGCGCCAGAGTGAGGTCAATGTGTTGGGAAACTAAACCGAATTCACTAGAGACGAGAAATGGTGAAACAGCAGCGTTTCTCGGGAGATGAGAATTCAGACACTTTGCTGGAGCTTTTCGGTAAGCTGCAAATGACGTGCATGGAGTTCCAACCAAAGAAAAGCAAATGCAAATTACTGGTTACATTTAACATTGATGGCATTTACTCTGTCACGTAAATTAACATGTATTAAGTATAAATAGCATCATATTTGACATTAAAACACACTGCTCACATAAGTGTATGTCTGTGCTTGTTTCTGGCATATCGCTGACTGATAGATTACCCCTATTTGCTGTTAGAGCTCCACGAACTTAATTTACGGAGTCACTTTCTAAGAACATGCAGTAGCTCCTAATTTGTCATAACGAGTCTAGAGGTCGCTTCTTTGGCTTCTGCCCACACAGTGTGGCACTATGTCCATTCATTCTGGAGCCCGCTCGCTAATTTGAACTGCGCTTAGTTCACAGATTATCATAGTACTCCTCGAGTTCCAATTAAGGAAACTCGAGCCAAAGTGATTGCGAGCCCGTGATTCTGGATAAGCGAACGCGCTCTCTAACCACCAGTGCACATCCCTTAGCTGCTAATGTAATACTGCTAATAAAAAGTTTAGACATCGGCAAGCTCCAGTATCACATACATTGAGTCTGTAATGACATGTGTAAAAATGCCGCATTGTGCATAGAGAATGGGCACAGAACTTCTGCTCATGCGCGCTATGCTAACCACAAGATTCTTACACATGCAGCACCATTACGGACGCAAAATACGGAGCACTAAAACTCACGGCTTACTGGCTTAGCAGCTTTATGAAAGTTTCTTCCATTCTGTGTGCTACTCCTTCATAATCAATTTAACCAAAGTGATGTTTTATTGAATTTGCCTGTGCAGATCGTTGAGTAATTTCTCCTCATCATATTTAATTCTGTGGTCTTTATTCTGTGGTTCTGCTTTGCTGTATCCCTGCAGAGATTCAGTGGCAGATAGGATGTGTGACTAATTATGGCAGCTGGGTTACCAACATTTGGAAATTCTGAATCACTACAGTGTGCCCTGAACTGTTAGACGTAGATGTTTGTAGCGACGTACGTCACTCATTGTTTGTTTTATCCTGACACATTTGATAGCTGTTCACAGAATAAGTGCATCCTGTTTTCAAACAGATTGTGACACTAGTAGAGGTGCGCGAATGTCGATTTCAGAGACATGAAAATTATGGTTTTTCTTTGGCAATGTTAGTATTCTAATGTCCATAACTGTAGCATTGAAATAGCATATACAGCATCGGGAGCAACTAAGCATATTCTTTGCTTGCTTCAGAGAGAGTGCAAGATCGTTGTGTAAGCATGGCTTCCCTAGCAACATGGCCTGCTGTATTGTGTGAGGCGTTATAGCTTATGTCTATGCTATGCCTGCACGCTTGCTGTGAGGAAGTCAGTTCTACTTTTGCGCAGACTTTGTGTTCATTTACTTTACAGCAGCTATTTGACTGTAAGTTGAAATGGGGTACTAATTGATTTGCAATTCAAAAATTTCAAATATTTGCACACCCCAGGAACCTGGACTTGATCTCAATGGGTGCATGAATGTTAGGCAGATGCATGCGTGCTGACCATCAGTCGTGTAGTCACTGCCGACATGATGGTGTGAAAGTGATTCTGTAAATAGAAAGTGCTTAGTGACTACCGTATCTCTAGCGAAGCATTTCATTCTACCATTCTTTCTGACTGCTTTACTTACAAAGGCAGGCAACACTGCGCAAGCCATTTGTTCTATTACTGCGTGTTTTAGTGTTGCTTTTATTTACTCGGCAAGGGAAACAGTTTTTGTTTACTGTTATAATTTGTCAATGAACCAAAAGAAACTGCAATTTTAACTCTTTGATGTGTATGCATTTGTGCCATTCTCTTGTGATTACAAACTTTGCAGCTATAATCACTTTACTTGCATCTCAGTGCTTGTGATAAATTGCCACAGTTTGCTAGGAAAAATGCTGTAAGGATTGTAAATAGTTGGCAAATTTACTCAGCCAACTTCGTGTGCCAACAGACTGGGCAATAAAGTGCGATGCGCATATTTCGTGAATTCAAAGCCTGACAATATGGTCTCCTGTGTTTCTCTTTCTTTTATCCCAGTGGCGATATTATCATACGACTGTCCACTAGTAAAAGAAGCGTCATGTTGAAGACTATCAAGTAAAAGAAAAAAAAAAATTTTTTGATAGACTGAGATAAAGGAGTCAGCCATGCGAGTGAAACTAAACATGAAAACGATACAGACTTCTTGCAAATGACCGAACCAGGACAAATTTTTTCGCGAACGATGACTCTGTTTCTGAGAAATCCATATGGATTTACTTGCAGCTTTGTGCCACAAACAAGTGGTCGTCAATTTTCTCTTTCATAACGTAGTCAAATGTGGTTGTCGTCAAACTTTTAGAAGCCACGAGGCTTAAAAGAAAATTAAATAATCTTGCTGCTTGGTCTGGCAGCCTTAAAACACGCTATCAACATGTACGGGTAGTCTGACTGAATAGTCGTAAATTGCTCAGTAATTAAATACTTTTTCAGGCCTAATGCGTGTCTAAACTTTTGAAGCCAAATGCAAGTTAGGGCACTTTGTGCGGTGCATTTAACGAGTGCATGTGCGACGCTGGTTGCTTTAATTAACGAAATGAACAGCTCATTGCAGAAGTCGGGGCGCATTTTGTTGCTGTGTGCACAGCTATGCAATTAAGAGGTCGTTCTCGATCGTGTCTCAGAATCAGGGGATCAATGCACAACAACGCGTGTGAGTACAGGCTCAAGGGAAACTGAATTTGTGCGCCGCGTTTCAATATAGGTCGGACTCGTGTCGCCGAAGCATGAAATATTTCCGTAGCTGTGCTTACCTAGTCGACTACGCACAAAGATTCATTTTCTGGGGAAACTGAATAGAGTCGCAGCAAGCGGTGCACTTCCCTCATTAAGTGCGAATTCATCTCTTAGTCGGGCTATGTCAGGCGTCCGTCGGGATCCGTCCACCGCCCTCTCCCTTAGCAATAGCTGTGGGCGCCCCAACAACCGGAGCCCCCCACCATGTCACGATTTTTGGCGTCGGCAGCTGTCGGCAACAGAAAACATTTTCTTTTAACGCAGGGTTCTCGCGTGCGAAACGCTGTTATGGACGCTACGCGATGCATACCATTTGCATTTCCTCACGATTCCCTTCGGGGAGGTGTGGGCATTTTTTTCTTTTTTTTTTTATCGTGTCTCGGAAGTAGGTAGTCAGCTGTCCAGCTCTCTGCACAGCTCTCGTGCCGCGTTGACAGCGCGCGACGAGGGGGACGCTACGCTTCCCCTAGTTGTCAGCACACGATATATCGTTCGAACTCGCGTACGCATGAAGAATGAACGTACCAAGACTGTAAAATTGGGGTACGTCAAGTATACGCCCGGAAGGCCGCTTAATCGCCGCTACTAGAGCGAACTAAGCGCGTACCTGTAAATGGAACCCCGCCCGGTGAGCCGCCGTCGCCTGCAGGGCTCCACCCACAAAAAAAGCACAAACGAGCGAAATTCCAATTAATGAATGCTTATTGTCTCTCAGCTTGAAAAGTTCGCCTTGAGCGTGTACTCATAAGCGCCGTTGCGCGTTGATTCCCCACTTCTGAGACACGATCGAGACCGACCTCTTAATTGCAAAGCCGCACACATAGCAAGAGAACGCGCCCCGACATCTGCAGCGCGCCGTTCATTCTGTTAATTAAAACGACCAACGTCGCACTCGCGAAATGCACGACGGGCGACGCGTCGTTGATTCCTTAATTTTGAGACACGATCTAGGCCGACCTCTTAATTGCACAGCTGCGTACGAAGCAATACGGCGCGCCGTCCATTCCGTTAATTAAAACGGCCAACGTCGCCCGCACACTCGCAAAATACACCGCCGACAACAGAGTCCTCAGAAGCATACGTTTCCGGCAAATCTGGTCGCAGTCTGGCAACACTGACCCTTAAGTTTGGCAACTTATCAATGCAATGCAAAACAGAACATTGCCTAAGTTAGTACAGACTCGGCCTTTAAACCGCACACTCTCGGTAAAATCATTATGCCATGCAGTTGCACTGAACGTGCGATCTACACGAGTCGTCTTTTCGAAACCGAAACCACACACGGCTCAAAGCTGGCGCCATCGCCATCGCTAGCATGTACAAGGCAGCGTTTCTTCGCTTTTTGTTGTTGCTTGAAAGCGCTTTTCACCTGCGCTTTCTCAAAAGACCGTCCCTCGTCGAGGAGAAATTGAGGCGTCCCGCTGGTTGATGCGCTGGTATTTTCTTTCACGCGCTTTACCACGCGTGCGATTTCTTTCTCACGTAGCTCGACCGACTGCGGATCAAGCGACTCCGTGTTCGCCTATTCGCCGACGATTATGCTAGTGTTTGTAAACATAGCGAGCGAGTCAGCTGCCATGCGAATAAAAAAAGGTGAGTCTTGCAGGTAAGTGACATCTGCTCCGCTGGTTCCTTTATGCCGGCGGCGCTAAACAAAGCCAGGTGTTCGATCGAGGTCAGCCTTCTGCTTGGGGCCTGGATCATTTTTTTTTCGCTGCATCGCTACAGTTTGGCGTTAGCTAAAGTCGCTTTGCGCTTACCGCTTTTCAGTTCATCAGCGCTATTTCTTTGTCGTGAGTGCAAACTGCGACCTGGTCTCGCTTCTCTTTTGTCGCCCTTTAAACGCGGCTCGCTACAACAGCTCCCACTTGTAGTCATACAGTGCGATTTCTTTATATCATCGTGCTTCCAAGAGAAGGTAGAGATTTCCCCAACAAAATCAAATGCGCGACATTACTCGCGCTAGCAGCTTTTTGAAGAAAGGTGCAATTGTCGGAAGGTATCGGCGAGCGTAGGACATCGCAAAGGCGATTCTTTTTCGCGAGATGCTATTACGAAAATTCTGCCGCGTTTTACGCTAAGTAACGGGCTTGTCGTTTGAAGCTCGCGGAGCAATGTCTTAATTACTACCGATGAAAATCGCGCAACGAAAAAAGGATATTCAAATTGATATCACGCAGGGTCGCGCCCGCGCGTTCATCGGCGCGCAAGTATATGCTTCTAAAACTGAAAGTCGCTCGCAATCCGTAAAATTTTTCGTGGACGACCTTAGATTTATCGGACCAAGGCGTGGACGTTCGCGTGGCGTTTTACGAAAGCGACCCCGACTGTTTGTCAATTTTTCGATATATATTTTCGACTACTATATTGAAACAACCTCTACGTACCCTGCGTCAGCAAAGCAGTTTCTATTACACTCGTGAAGCTGCTTGAAAAACACACGCACACATTGTGCTGTACACAGTTTCTTCTGAAGACCATTACATGTATCTTTTGTGCAACTCACCATTCTAAAGAGAGCGCTTGCCTTTATGTATTTGTAGTCTGCGACAATAGACATGTCTCCAAGGCCTTCAGGAATGTAAGAGCCAGAAATTTTTTCTGAAATATATCCCTACGGGCCAGAAAATATTTCTTGAAATATTTCAAACGAGGCTATGTTCTCAGGTTGTAACTGCAAGATGAGCACTCCTATTGGTTTGCATTGAGACTGTGTGAGTAAGTGATTAATTGTAATTAAACAAGAGATGTTAGGCTGAAGTAAATGTATCGACAAGGGTATTTTGTTTCTTACATCTCTGATTAAGACAAACCTTCCTGCTTGAAAAGTTGGTTCGAGAGGTGTGGCATAGTGATGAACTCTACATCATTGTTGCTCCTTAAGGCTATCTTTTTTACAGTTATGGTGTTGCATCAGGGCTGAAGCATACAGCTCTCAGTATAGTTAAACATTATTTCTCCAGCTTTAGCTAACACATTACGCACAGTTCTTTATATAGGGGCCCATCATTTCTAGGATTTGTACCATTGTCACACGGGGCACTGTTAATCGTGATAGAGCCTGATCGGCGTCACATTTGTTCCCAGCAATTGGCTTCCTTCTGCAGCTTCCACAGAATAGCCCACTGAGATTAAACGTGACACTGGCATCAAGATTTTTTGTGTCCCCGTATCTTTCGTTTGTCCTCTTCCAGCATCATAAAATGCTGAGTATTTATGCTTCATTTTATAATATCCACTTTCATCATTGTGTTCGTGTGTGTTTTTGTGGATTCGCTCATACGTATTTCTTATCTTGCATTTTATTTGCAGGTGGACCAAGAACCACACTGGAGAAATGAGTGCTTGACTGAACAATAAGTTAATAGGGATAAACTAAGAAGCCTCAGTACAAAGTGCATTCCAACGTAGGGAGATTCCGAAAAATAAGCCCATAATCTCACCATAATCAACTGTCCTGCTTATATCATTAAAGCAAAGCAGTTGCCATCATTTCTTCTTAAGCTTCTTCCAAATACCCCTTTTTTTTTTCAAGCATGCATCAAAGCGTTATTGAATGTTCTGTGCCACAATTAATAGGATTTATACCTACACACTTGTGTTGCTAGCAATGTCTATTGCGTTTCATAGTTCCTTTATCCTACTTGTGTTTAATTCCTAGAATTATGCACTGCTTTATTTTTCGTATTGGATGGCTCATCAGACCATGTTGCTTAAGATGCTTTAGCTTTGAAAAACGTTTTATATTTTCATTTCCTTTATACAAACCCTCTCCTCAACCTGATACTTAAAACGTTAGTTCATACCATTAATAGTGAAATAAAAAAAATCTGTAGTGACAATCTTAATGGAAGAGTGTGCTCATGTGAGTTTGGAACAGTGTAAATTATTATTATTATTGTTGTTGTTGTTGTTGTTATTATTGTTGTTACTTTCTCACAATTTGGCAATGATCTGAGAAATTTTCTCGACCACAAATGTCAGGCCTCCAATCTTTAGCAACCCACTTTACTTAACTTACGCTGCTCTCATTATCTAATCTTACTAATAACATGAAAGGAGTGTTACTTACGGCCACAGATGAAGCAAAAAAAAAAAAAGGTAGCATATAAAGAGGCATTTCTACAGAATTGCGTTGCAACTTAGGTCAATCATTAGCAGTGAAGATAAGAATAAGAGAGCTGAAAAAAAAAAAAAAAAACTATGCTCATATGAGTCTGTTCC